TTAACCAACCCCAAATGCCCCTTAATCAGCCCAAATGGACGTCAACTAACCCAAATGCCCTTTAACCAACCCCAAATGCCCTTTACCCAACCGAAATGCCCCTTAACCAACCCCAAATTCCCTTTAACCAACCCCAAATGCCCCTTAACCAACCCCAAATTCCCTGTGACCAACCCCAAATGCCCTGTGACCAACCCCAAATTCCCTTTAACCAACCCCAAGTGCCCCTTAACCAATCCCAAACGCCCCTTAATCAGCCCAAATGGACTTTAACTAACCCAAATGCCCTTTCCCAACCCAAATGCCCCTTAACCAACCCCAAATTCCCTTTAACCAACCCAAAACTCCTGACCCCCCCCCGAGAAGCCTCCTTGCAGCCCCCCCCACCACCCCCTAACCCCTCCATCCCCCTGCCCCATCCGCGTCCCCCCATCCACCAGGAGCACCCCCAGCCCGTGCCCCCCACCCCCCCACCCCAGCCGCCCCCACCCCAGGGGGGGTTCAGGATGCGCCCCCCCCCATTCTCTTACCCTTGCTCCGGGCAGCCCGGGCTCTCCGGGACGCCCGGGGTCACCGGTGGCACCCTTGGGACCGGCGAGGCCAGCGGGGCCGCGTTCACCCGGAGCACCCTGTGTAGGGTTGGGGGGGGTCACAGGGTGAGATTTGGGATCGCAGGGGGTGGGCAACACCCCCAGGACCCCCCACCCCACCCCATAACCCCGACGTCCCACCTTGGGTCCAGCCAGCCCGTCTTGCCCGGGGAAGCCGCGGTTGCCGGGAGCACCCTATGGAAAAAGGAGAGGAATTAAGGTAAGGTGAGGGGGGTTTTTTTTTGGGGTGGGGGGGGCAGCGTCTCGCCGAGGGGTGGGGGCCACGCACCCTTTCTCCGGGGGGGCCCACGGGGCCGGCAGCACCGGGTTCCCCACGGGCTCCTCTCTTGCCTTCCTCCCCAGCCGGCCCGGGGGCACCTTGGGTCCTGCGGGGCCCTAAGGAAAAGGAGCAAAACGGGTCAAAAAAGCAGCAATTTGGGACGGGAAAAGGGTTGGAGGGGGACAACCCGTGGACCCCCCCATTCCCCAAACCCCCGACCCGTGTGTCACGACGGCGCCGGGGCTCAGCGGCCCCCCGGCGGGGATCCGGCCCCGCTCATTGAGGCTGCTTAATGAAGCGACGGGGGAATGTCCCCGGCCTCCGGGGACGAGGGGGGGGCACGGCGCAAAACACAGCCCCTATTGTTCCCCCCCCCCCTTTATGGGAGAAGAGGGGGGGGGACGCTGCCCCTCGAGGGGCCTCGTTAGGGGAAGAGGCTCGTTAGCCGAGCCGGGTGGCTCGCCGCAGCGGGGTCTCCAGCGGGGTGGGGGCTGGATTTTTGTGTGTGTCCCCCCCCAAAAAAACCCCAAATCTCACCGTCTCGCCCTTGGGTCCTTGCTCGCCTTTGAAGCCCGCGATGCCGGGTTCGCCCTGGGGAGAGAGAGGGTGGGGGGCGACGGGGGGCTCGGTGCTGTTCCCATCGGGGGTCCTGTCCCCGTCCCTGTCCCTATACGGGTCCCTGTCCCTATCTGCATCCCCATCTCCATCCCTGTCCCCCCCCCCATCCCTGACCCCATTCCCATCCCAATCTGCATCCCTGTCCCCATCCTCTTTCCTGTCCCCATCCCTGTCCCCTGTCCCCATTCCCTGTCCCCATCCTTGTCCCCGTCCCCTTTCCTGTCCCCTTCCCCGTCCCTGGCCCCATCCCCACCCCCTCTCCACCTTTGTCCCCACCCCATCTGTCCCCCACCCCATTCCCACCTGCACCCCTGTCTCCATCCCTTTTCCTGTCCCCACCCTAATCGGTGTCCCCGTCCCTGTCCCCATGTCCTGAGCCCTGTCCCCCACCCCAGCCCTGTCCCCATTTCCTGTCCCCATTCCTCATTCCTGACCCAACCTCAACCCCTCATCTTCATCCCTGTGCCTGTCCCCATTGTCATCCCTGTCCCTATTGTCATCCCTGTCCCCATCCCTTTCCTCCCCCCCATGCTCATCCTCTTACCTTGCCCCTGTACCCGACCCCATCCCCATCCCATTCCCACCCCCTCCCCATTTCCATCCCAGTTTCCATCCCCAATCCCATTCCCACCCCATTTCCTCCCCCTCCCCATTTCCACCCCATCCCATCCCCATCCCATCCCGTCCCCATCCCCGTCCCCCCCCTCTGGGGACCACATTCGGTTCCCCTGGGGGTGACCCGAGGATGTTTGGGGGGGGTCAGGGAGCACCCAAAAGTGGGTCCAAGAATGGGGACAGATCCCAAAAAAGGGGGAGGAGCCTGGGGTGGAGTGGGCGGGGCCATCTGAAAGTGGGCGGGGCCTTTTTGGAAATGGGCGGGGCCACAGCCAGGTCCCTCTCGGGGGGCTCTGGGGGGGTCAGGGGGGCTCTTACCGTCTGTCCCTTGGGTCCCAGCGGGCCGGTGGCACCTTGGGGTCGGGGGGGCCGCGGGGGCCGGGGAAGCCGGGAGCGCCTGCGATGCCCGGGGCACCCTGCGGGCAGCCGGTGACCGTCATGGGGGGGGGCGGGGGGGGGACACGGCACGGTGCCGTGCGCCCCCACGTCCCCAGGAACCTGCGTCCCCTGTGTCCGACAGCGCGGCCCCCAGCATCTCGTGTGTCCCCCCCACCCCGTGTCCTCCAGGACCCCACAACAGCCATCCCATACCCCCCAGTGTCCCCATGCCCCCCCAGTGTCCCCATATCTCCCAGTGTCCCCATACCACCCAGCACCCCATGCCCCGCAGTGTCCCCATATCCCTCAATGTCCCCACACCCCCCCAGTATCCCCATATCCCCACTCCCCCAATGTCCCCATGCCCCCCAGTATCCCCATTATCTCCCAATTTCCCCATATCTCCCAGTATGCCCATATCTCCCAATGTCCCCATGCCCCCCCAGTATCCCCATATCTCCCAGTATCCCCACGTCCCCAGTATCCCCATGCCCCCCAGTGTTCCCATATCCCCCAATATCCCCGTATCTCCCAGTGTCTCCACGCCCCCCAACGTCCCCACGCCCCCCAATGTCCCCATATCTCCCAGTATCCCAGTATCTCCCAGTATCCCCACGCCCCCCCAGTGTCTCCATGCCCCCCAGTGTCCCCATATACCCCCAGTATCCCCATATCTCCCAGTATCCCCACATCCCCCAGTGTCCCCATGCCCCCTAATGTCCCCACACCCCCCAATGTCCCCATATCCCAAAATGTCCCCATGCTCCCCAGTGTCCCCACGCCCCCCAGCACCCCACATACACCTCCACACCCCCCATCACCCCCCATCATCTCCCCATCACCCCCCAGCCCCCTCCCACACCCCCCCATCCCCCTCATCCCGATGTCCCCACGTGTCCCCCCCCGTCCCCGTCCCCCACTCACCGCTGAGCCCTTGGCTCCGGGGATGCCGTCGGTGCCGGGGTTGCCCTACGGGACGGAGCAGTGAGCGCCCCCGTGCCTCAGTTTCCCCACCTCGAGCAGAGCCCCCCCACCCCCCCATTTGTGCCCCCAGCCCCACAGCTCCCAGGCTGCGGGTGGGGGGCACACGGGGGGGGTCAAGCCACAAAGGAGGGGGGGGAAAAGTGTCCCCAAAATCCCCTGGGGGTACTTACAGGGGCGCCAGCGGGGCCGGGGGAGCCGGGGGTGCCGGATTCGCCACGGGGACCTTGGGCACCCTCAGGACCTCGTGCGCCGGTGGGACCTGCTTCACCCTGCGGGGGGGGGGACAGGGACACAGGGGGGGCATAGGGGTGAGGGGGGGGATTTGGGGCGGCCGTGCCTCAGTTTCCCCCTCCCCTTCCCTCCCCGCACCCCCCCTGCGCTCAGCCCTTACCTTCGAGCCGGGGGCGCCGGGGAAGCCGGGGGCTCCGGGGCCAACGGGTCCCTGGGGGGGGGGAGAAAAGTGTGGGGGGGCTGCCCCTATTGGGGGGGGGCACCCAGGGGACCCCAAATGGATTTGGGGTCCGGGTGGGGGGGGGGCAAAAAGCCCTGTACTTACGGGGGGCCGGCAGGGCCGGGGAGACCGTCATTGCCGCGAGCACCCTGGGGGGAAACGGCAGTGGGGGGGTCACGGGGGGGGGGTTCAGGGCACCCCACGCCCCCCCCCTGCAGCCCCTGCCCCACTGGGGGGGGGTCACCGGGGTGGGGGGGTCACCGGGGGGGTCTCGCACTCACCGCAGCGCCGGAGGGGCCGGGACGTCCTCGCTCTCCTGGCAGCCCGCGGGGACCCGGGGGGGGGCACACGGCGTCAGGTTGGGTTTATTGGGGGGGGGGCACACAAACAACCCCCCCTCCACCCTCCCCACCTCCCCCGTGCCTCAGTTTCCCCGTGTCCCAGCCCCGATGCTCACCATGGGGCCGGGGGAGCCGTTCTCGCGGGGGAGCCGGATTCGCCCTGTGGGGGGGGGGAGAAGAAAATGAGCTGGGGGGGGCAAAAAAAAAAAGGGGGGGGGCACACCCCGAGGCCATGGGGGTCGCGCTCACCTTGGCTCCGGGGGCTCCTGCCTCGCCTTTGGCACCGTCCAAGCGGGGTAACCCTGGGGGGGGGGGCAAGAAGAAGGTTGAGGGGGGGTCACACAAAAGGGGGGCACCCAAAGTGCCATTTTTTTGGGGGGGGGGCACTCACCCGGTGTCCTTTCACTCCGGGCAGACCGGGGGTCCCGGGGAAGCCGCGAGCACCCTGTGGGGAGGAGGAGGGTTGGGGGCATAAAAAAAAAAGGGGGGGGGGGATAAAAAAAAATAAAGGGGGGGGGGCATAAAAAAAATAAAGGGGGGGGGCGCTGAGCCCGGATCCATCCCGGTGCTGCCTCACCTGGGGGCCGGGGGGGCCACGTTCGCCGGATTTGCCGGGTTTGCCTGTTTCGCCCTGCAAGATTAATTTTTTTTTAATTAAAAATAAAAAGTTTGGCACAAGGGGGGGGGCACAAAGGGGGGGGCACTGGTGCACCGAGCTGCCCGTGCTCAGTGGGGGGGGGACACTCACGTCGTCACCGGGTTTCCCAGGAGGTCCCGGAGGTCCCCGGGGACCCATCGGACCCTAAAAGAGGCAGCGAGGAGGGGGTGAGCGGGGGGGGGGCTTTTTTTTTTTGGGGGGGTGCTGGCACGTCCCCAAAGTGGGAGACAAAGGGGTGCGGGGGGGGGACACTCACAGCAGCGCCGGGTTCGCCAGGCTCGCCGGGGTTGCCTTGAAATCCTTGGGGACCCTGTGGGGGGGGGGGACAGAGGGGGTGGCATCAGGAGGGGGGGGGCGGTGGAGCAGCCACCCAGAGCCCCCACCCCTCCCCAGATATTTTGGGGGGGGGGGGGGGGGCATGGGTACTTACGGGAGCGCCGGTGGGGCCGGGGGGGCGCGGGGTCCCATGGGTCCCTGTGGGGAGAGACAACGAGCACCGGTGTCACTGGGGGGGGCGGGGGGGGGGGCGACCACCATCACCCCCTCCCTGCCTGATGAAGCAGGGGGTGCCCCCCCCAAAAAAAAAAAAAAAAAAGGGTGGTCCCACAGTGGGGTCTGCAGGGATGAGACCCCCCCAGGGGTGCGGGGGGAGGCGTTTTGGGGGTCCGCTGTTTTTTGGGGGGACGCCCTTTGTTTATTTAATTGGGGGGGGTCTGGTTTGTATTTTTTTTTGGTGGGGGGGCTGTTTTTTTTTGGGGGGGGGGCTTACCATGGGTCCCTGCATGACGCCCATCTGCGCGCCGCCAGCCTTCTCGTCGAAGCCGCCCGCCATCTGAGCCGCGAAGTTCTGTAAAATTCGGGGGGGGGGGCTGAGCAACGCCGCCTGCCCCAAAAACATCTCTTTTCACCCCAAAATCCCCACCCTCCACATACTCACCCCACCGAGTCCAGGGGGGCCGGGAGGTCCGGGGGGGCCGGGGGGGCCGGGGTTGCCGGGGGTCCCAGGTTCTCCATCCCTGCCGCGGGGGCCAGGAGCACCCTGGAGGGGGGGGGGCACATAAAAAAAGCCCCTTGGTACCCCGAAAAGCGCACGGGGCTTCTCTGCAGCACCCATGGGTGCAGGTGGGGGGGGGATTTTTTATCCCCCCCCCATATTTTGGGGGTGCGCTCACCTTCTCCCCTTTCTCGCCGCGGTCCCCTCGCTGTCCCTGCTCGCCTGCCGGGCCCTGTGTAGGCAGGGGGGGGTCAGTTTGTCCCTGTGCACCCCCCCACACACAAAATGTGCCCCCCCCCTCCCCAAATTCCTGCCCCCCTCCCACAAATATTCCAGCAATGCGCCCAACGCGTTCCCACCTGCGGTCCCGGAGGCCCTCGGGGTCCTACAACCTGCGGGGGGGGGGAAGGGAAAAAGACAAGGGTGGGGTGAGGGGGGAGCACGTGGGGACCCCCCCCCCATGATGACAGAGCCCCCCCCATTTTGGGGGATTTCCCCCCAAAACTTACATCTTTGATATCGCCGGGTTCACCTTTCTGTCCCTGCAAGGCAAAGCAGGGGGTGAGATTGGGGGGGGGGGGGAGGGGAACCCATTGAGCCCCCCCCCCAAAAAAAAAATATCTCTGCCCCCCTCCCCACATTGTCATGGACCCCCCCAGGAGGTGATGAAGCCCCCCAGGAGGTGACAAAACTGGAGCCCCATGTGGATGCCCTCCCTCCTTTCTCCCATCCCCCCAAGTCATTTTGGGTGAAAATCCTTGGAAATTGGGATTATGCTGGAAGTACCGGGGGGGGGGGGGACCAGCCTCACCTTGGGGCCAGGTTGTCCTGTTGGAAAGGCAAAAAAATAAAGAGAAATTAGAGCAGGGAGGGTTTTTTTGGGGGGAGGGGGGGTGAGTGAATCCATCTGCTGCTGGGGGGGGGGGCGTGATGCTGGGGGGCTGCGTGGCCAAACTGGGGGCACTGGAATTTGGGGGGGGGGGGCTCCCCGAAGCGGGGCGGCGAAGCACGCGGAAGCGGGGCCACGCGGTTTGGGGAGTGGGGGGGCACTCAACCCTTCAACCCCCCCAATTATGGGGGGGCAGGAAAGGGTTAAAAAAGGCAACTTTGGGGTTTTTGGGGTGCTGGGGGGGGGGGCAGCGGGGCTTGGGGGTGCTCAGGGATACGGGGCCATCGCCCTTCCGCAGGACCCAGGGTGGAAATGTGGTAGTTTGGGGTGAATAATCGGTGATTTGGGGCAGCCACAATATTGGCATTTTTGTTTCGTTTCGTTCCCCCCCCCTGGGTTGAGGTTGCGGCCAAAACCCAAATTAAACAAGGGAAAAATAAAAAATCCCAAATCCCAGCCCCAGGGTCAGGGGCCGCGACCTCCCCTCGGGACACGCTTGGAGTGGGGCTTAGCAAAAATCCCAGGTGGAAAATGGGCAAAAAGGGGATAAAAAGGGCCAAAAGGAGGGAAGATGCCAAAAATGGGGCCAAAAAGGGGGAAGAAGGGGAAAAAAAGGCATGGAATGGTGAAAAAAGAGGCGAAACAGGTGCAAAAAGGGCCAAAAAAGGACAAAAAGGAAAAAAGTGCATACTATGAAAAAAGAGGTAAAAAGAGGTAAAAAGGGGGGAAAAAGGGCAAAAAGGGGCAAAGTAGGATGAAAATGGCCAAAGAAGGATGAAGAGGGGCAAACAGGTGAAAAGGGGGAAAAAACGGGAAAAAAAGAGGGCAAAAGAGGGAAAAAGGGGAGAAAAGAGGGGAAAAGGGGGGCAAAAAGTGGGCAAAGAAAAGGTAAAATTGGGAAAAATGAGGGCAAAGAAGAGAAAAGAAAGGGGAAAAAAGGGCTGAAAATGGACAAATAGGGGCAAAATGGAGAAAAAGGGGTAAAAAGGGGCAAATGAAGGCCCAGAAGTGGCAAATAAAGGGCTAAAAGGGGCAAATTAAGATCCAAAAGGGGCAAATAAAGGGCTAAAAGGGGCAAATAAAGGGCTAAAAAGGGGCAAGTAATGGCCAAAAAGGGGCAAATAAATAACCAAAATGGGCAAATTAAGGCCAAAAAGGGGCAAATAAAGGGCTAAAAGGGGGCAAATAAGGGCTAAAAAGTGGCAAATAAAGGGCTAAAAGCGCAAGTAATGACCAAAAAGGGGCCAAAATACCCAAATAAATACCCAAAAAGGGCAAATAAAGACCCAAAAGGGGCAAATTAATGCCCCAAAGGTGCTAATAACGGCCCCAGGGGGGTCATTTTTTCCCTGATTTTTCCCCACCGGGGGGGGTCTGGGAGGGGCCGTGCCCCAGTTGCCTTTTCCCCACCGCACGTCCCCATAGGGGGGGGGGGGTGTATGGGGTGGGGGGGTATTGTGGGGGGGTGGGGGGGTGCGGGGGG